ACCTGGCTTTATCAAATGCAATCAAAACTAACATTAAAACATATAGAAGGCTACTAAAATTGTCCTCTCACACACCCTTCAAATCCACTCTGGAGAATTGGAAATCTTCTGGAGGATATTTAAGGGTATGAAGTGGACTGCAGAATGACAGAAAATCACTCTCTTCCTGTTCCATCAGCAGAAACCGCTTCACACTCACAAAAAAAATGTTTTCCGTTTCTTCCCCTAATCCTTATGATGCAAGTATTAACAATCATGTTTTTATGCCTTCAAGTATCTTCCATCTAGTGACCTAATTATGCATGCTTTTGGGACTTCCAGAATCTCTGATGAAAGAATACAAATTGACCACATCTACAGATATTTGTTTATACTACTTTTGATAAAGATTTTAACAACATTTGCAGCTGGTTTCACTCATGGCCAATAAACCGATAATTAGCTGCAAAGGGGGGGGGGTGTCGTTATTTTTAGTATCTCTTCTGAGAGTTTTGTGTAGATGTATATTTGTTATTAAAAAGATTTATATTTCAATATTTTATAGCTTCAAAAAGACCAATAATCCAGATTTTTTTTTTAACAAAATGGGAAATTTGTATATTTTCAGAGATATGGTATTTATGTCTGCAGCAAAATGTTCTCCGCTTTTCTTTCTCTCTCTTAAAAGAGACATCAAAGGAAAAAGAGACTATGACGTCAGAACTGAGATTATGTTATATCTGGGTTTGAAGGACCAAACTGTTTGATATGTGTTATACTTCTTTCTTATTTTGACTGTGGTCAAATTAGCTTGGGGTGGGGTATGTCTACTAATAACTTCTACCAGCATTGGCAAAGTCCAGGTTCCCCTAGTATCTCTTTCCTGTGTGATCAGTCTTCACATACTCTTGTTATTCCCTTACATGTCCTTGTTACAAAAAAAGAAATACAAAACTATAATCTGGCATGAAAGTTGTCTTGGAGAGGTTAGAGCAGCAATGATTGGGTACATATTCTATTTTTAATCTGGTTAATGATAATTATTTCCTTTCCTTTGTATTTGTTTAAAGTTTGACCTGAAGTTTACCCTCTAAATAAGTTATGGAGCCTTCAAGTAATAAAAGCAATAAGGAAGTCTCTTTTTGATTTGAATTCTTCACATCTTTTCCAGCACTAAAACCAGGAAAGGAGAGAAAAACACTGTTTAAAACATCTGAAAATTAGTACTAAAAAAAAAAGCATTAATGTATATTTTGTTTTGCAAACTACCAGCCATGAGGAGCACAGAATATATTATAACCTTTTTCATGACGAAGGGAAGTTTGAAAGAAACATTTAACGTGTAATTCATTTTTATTGGCATGTATTAAGGAATTTGTCAGGATCAAATTATCCTACTTTGGATACATTATGTGAAGACCCAGCACTCTGGAGAAGGCTGGAATGCTGGGAAAGGTGGAAGGAAAGAGAAGAGGATGCCCAGCAGCAAGGTGAATGGACTCAGTTACAGTATCAATGAGTGCACCATTGGAAGAGCTGAAGGACCAGGTTAGGGACAGATCATCATGGAGAAAATCTGTCTATGTGGTTGGTTTGTAACAGTGGACAATGACTTGATGGCACGTAATTATCATGATAATCATTAAGGCATTTGTACATATGTAAGTTGGCAGCCTTTTATTATTACCAACTCAGGCCATTATGTGCATGTAACCCAGCATCAGCAATTTTTTCAGGTCTCAGATATCATCATGACTATCCCCATGATGAAAATCTTATGAGATTGCAAGGCATTTGTGATCTCACCCTGAGATCCTATGCAAAAACATTAACATTTTTCAAGATCTCATATAAGAAAGCTGAAATCTCATAAGTTCTGCAGTTCTTGAAAGATTTTTCTTTTAATTTTTAATTTGTATTTAATTTTGAGATGATTCTGGCAATATTTAAGAGTAAGGTGAATGTTCTGGTACCCACAGGGACCAGAATAGTGACCTATGACCTAGTCTAGTATTGCCTGATTGTAGTTCCCAAAGTTTTTAGGTGTTACATTCCTCATTACCCACTTTAACTTTAGTTGTTTTGCAATGCAAAGCATGTATTTTATGATCAAGGTACAGACTTTCCCAAACCGTTGTTGGTAATGCTGGGACAGCTTCTTTGTGAGATTAGATTTTAAATCTTTGCCAGCATTGCATAGAATTTGGACTGTGGACCAAAAGGCAAGACTTCAAAGTTATGCCCTTCTCAGGTCAGACCTCCTTCATATGTAACACTTTAAGTTTATGGAGACATCTAATTAAAATAAAAGTCTGAGCCCAAAATTTGAATTTTCTACGTATTCATACAAAAGCTAGCAAGAGTGGATTAATTTATCATAGATTTTTAAAAGGGATTTTTAAATTATATTTTTATTTTAAATTCTTTAAGAAGTGTTAGGTGCAAGTTCATTGTAAATTATTTTTTCTCAATTCAAATTTAGTTGCATCTTTGTGGCATTGTGGCCCTTTGATTACTGCAGGATTTAGTCATGTTTGGAGGTTCACCCACTGTGGTTAAAATCACTTTTATATCAATAAATCATTAGTCTCAAGGTAGAGAAATATATGTTTAAGAAAATAATGTAAATGGTAGATTTGTCATTTGCTCAGAGAAAGAGAGATGAATATACAAAATTAAATCTTGTGCCATCGAGTCAGTGTCGCCTCATAGCAACCATGTAGATAGATCTGCTCCAGGATGGGTAAGTATATAAACATTATGCTAGTGTTTTCTGCTCCATTGATTAAGGGTAGCAGCAACTCTAAACTGTGGAAGAGTTTTCTTAACAAAATGGCAGGTTTCTTTATAAGGTACAGTAGGTAGGCATTCCTGAGCAACTGCGTATATTGCTTCTAAAATGGAACCCAGAGTTCTTAGTGGTTGATGATACATGAAGCCCTTAATTATACTTGTAAATGATTTTGTTGGTTATCTTGTCTTACGAGTATGCTTTTTATTTCCTTAGAAGAGAAGCTACTGTTGCTCATTTGGAGCAACAAGTGAGGTTTTAATAAGAAAACATTGGAAATTAGCTTTGATATACATTAATTACTGATTTATTTTAATGAAAATTGAACATTATAACACTTATAAATAAAGGGTAATCATAAAGCATTATTCTGTTAATTAGTTCTTTTTATTCTCCAGATTAGTTTTAAATATGCCCTCTAGATGCCACTTGATTGTAATTACCAGAGTAATATTATTGTCACTACACAAAAGCATTTTAATTAAATATAAAGTAATTTAAATTAGAATGAGTTTTTTAAGAAAATAAACTGTGGTCAAATTAGCCTGTAAGAAAACAACCACTGACATGCAATCATCATTGGTTTCAAACATTATGGTATTGAAGCCCTGATGAGAAGAAGAAATATGCACACTCAGAGATCTTGAAGTTTGATTAGTAATGTTTGTCCTATCTGGCGTAATAAATCCCATGGCTGAAGAGTCCAGGGGCTGCTTCTTACCAAACACCAGTTTGCCTCTTCACTTCTATGACAGGCAAATCTCACCTTAAACAGCTGGACTTTGTCTAGAACTAGTGGAGTAAGGCTGAAGTTTATTTGTTTCATCAATTACTTTCTGGTTGGTTGATCCTGAATTATCTGTTTGTTTGTTGTGGAAAGAAAAGCAGGATACTAACATTTTAAAGAGCTACACAACATCCAAACTGTTGTGATACAAGTTATGGACAGGCCGTTGCCAATATGGCAAGCCCCAGGCCAGAAGGACTACTAAGACACTAGTGTTGTGGAAGCGAACTTGGAGTAGTTAGATCTCCCACTGTCCTATTTAATATTCTACGGCAGTAGAAGATTAGGGTATTTCCAGACTATCAGCTTTTCCATCTTCTTACCCTTCTAATTCTTTTGCAAAAAGATTAACCTGTGCTGTTTTGCAGATTCATTGCAACTCTTTTTATATGCAGATGAAATGAGCATGGATAGAACTGATTAGGGTTAGTTAGCAATACACACCTGGTATTATGGCTTTTCTTCTCAGAGGCTTGGGAGAAAAGGCTTGTTTTGAAGAGAGCAGCTGCCTCTTCCCTGTCTATGGAAACAACGGGATATTTGAAGATTTTGTACAATTGCACATTTGTAATCTATAATGAGTTTGATCGCCAGAGGGGACATCTCATGTTATCTCACGGGAGGAATCCACTTTTGTCTCAATAGAGGCGAATATGTGTAATATTTCACTTTCCACTTTTGTCTAATAACCCTCTCAGTATTCCTGGGAAAAA